AAATCAGAAAATACTAGACATTTTAGGTGTCGGTATTTTCTGAATTTTTTTTTTTTTTTTTAAACCAGACAGGAGGTGAAAATACCGGACTGTCCAGTTCAATACAGGACACCTGGCAAACCTATCCAATAAGCATTTGTTTATTGGATAGTCGACTAGTCGTTCACATCCCTATTATTTACTTGTTTCCATAACCTAAGAACTAAGGGTCACCAGATGAAGTAAGTAGATAGGTTTAAAAGGAAGTTTTTCTTCATGAAGCACACAGTCAACCTATGTAACTCCTTGCCAGAAGAGGTTGTGAAAACCAGGACTTGAACAGGGTTAAAGGAAGAACTAGATAAATTCATGGAGGTTAGGGCCATCAATACTTATTAGTCAAAAAGGCTACAAACTGTGTGCTCAGCCTGTTTGGGGCTAGAAATGGATGACAGGAGAGGGACCACTTTATGATTACCTGTTTTTGTTCACTTCCTGTGAATCATCTGGCATTGGACTATATGAACCTTTGGTCTGAACCCAGTATGGCTGTTCTTATGTTCTTTTATTGACTACCAAGAAGATACACACAAATTCATGTTTTTAATATTGAAGCAATTAGGTCTCTGACTTTTCAATATGATGCAAATTATTATACCAAACAACTGCATTAATATTTAAGGAAACAGCTAGAGAATTCTGTTCCCACACATGCTGTTGGCTATTACAGGTAATAACGTATTTCTGCTGAAATGAGCAGTGAAATATCTAAGAACGCATTTAGATTTGTCTATTTGAGTTTGAATACCTCCTCAGAACTATTGACTAAAACAACACTGCCGTACTTGCAACCTTGTGGTGGCAAGAGAAAATTTTTTTCTTAAAATAAAACTTACATTCTGGAGCGCACACTCGATGACAAAAGACACGACCTGCGCAGGACGCCCAAACTCTACTGATGAACAGCGTGCAGAAATGTAACACCTTAAACGCGAATAGCTCACGCCTCAGAATGGGAAGGAACTCCAAGAGAGCAGTTCTCGTCCCTAGCGGGCTGAGAAGCCAGGGTGCGCTCACCGATACAAAGGCTCACAAGAAGGCCTGGCTCGCCCGGCCGAGCTCCCACCCCACGGCCGGGCACACGAGCTCTGCGCGGCCTAAGGCCAAGGCGGCCGCACTCTACGCGGCGCCGCGGGCAAAGCTGGGAGAGCCGCCAGCCTCCGGCAAACCGGGCGTGGTGTGGAGACCGCGACCGCAGCGTATTCGGGACCACAGCCCCCGCCCGGAGCGGACTGGAGGGACCCCGGGGCCTCACGAACCCACCCAGGCTCGGCTCCCACCTGGCAGAACCCCCGGCAGTAGGCCCGGGACGAAGACTCCGAAACCTCCTGTTCGCGCAGCTCCGCTTGCAACTGCCAGAGACGGGCGCGAAGAGCGACCACGAGCCGCTCCATCTCAGGGCGCGGAGACGCCTCGGCCTCTGCGTCCGCCATCTGCACCCAGACTCCCCGCGCGTAGGCAGCGATCACGTGACCACGAGCAACCACTGATGACCTCATCGGCCTGGAACTGCGTCACATGATTCACACGTGACCACAGCAACAGACACAACGGACAACCGTCACGTTCTCGGGCGACGCCATATTGTTACCCGTATATTGGTCCCGCCCTCTACGTCTCCTTACGTCGTGCGGAAATAGCAACCGACACCAGGCAGCTTGGAGCAGGGCGCTGCGGTCCGGGCTTGGTGCAGTGGTTGCCATGGCTACCCTTAGGCCACCTCGCCTCAGACCCAGCAGTGAGCCTGGACGGCAATGTCTGTGTCTCCCGCTCTCCTTGCCCCGCCCCTGCCCGAGTTCCCCACGTCCTTGCTCAGCAGGCCTGGGCTGTTACTGCTCTGCGGCCATTCGTTACAGGGCTGGAGCTGGCGGACAGTGACTCAAAAAGGGGATTTACATAACACGATATTTCACACCGGTCTTTCTCGCCCCTCTTTCCATGTCTGGGTTTTGTTCCCTATACTTACTGTAATTGTATGGGTGGAGTTAGGACCTTATGTTATCCCAGCTGCAATTGGTCCATTAAAGGTCTACTCCTGAAGGCCAAATGCAAATCCATGGAGCAGAACTATTGAAAACCGTATGTCCAGATACCGATATAATCAAATCTTTAGAAACTTTCTCATGCAGATACACACTTGTATTCATGTGTACACATCTAGCATGTATGAACATACACTTCCACATTATTTATTATGATAATTTTTGTTTAGTGCCTCGAGACCCCAACTAAGATCAGGGCTCCAGCATGATTGGTGCTGCACATACACATAAAAAGAAAAAACTTAATGAATGGTCCTGCAAAACCTTAGAGACTAACACAAAATGCTGATAATATCATGAGCTTTTGTGGGCACAACCCTCAACATTTTGTGTTAATCTCTAAGGCGCTGCAGAACCATTTGATGTTTTTCATTTTTTTCAGTTATAGACTAACAAGGCTACCCATCTGAGACATAAAAACAAAAAATCTGCAAAAAAGAGTTAGACCAGGTGGGGAATAAGTGTCCTGTGGGCCAGATGCAGTTCACCTGAAGGGTGGTTGGTGCTTTATTTACCTGCATGTCCACAGGTACATCTGTTTGCAACCCCTGTTGGCTGCAAATTGCTGTTCTCGGTGTCCCTGTCCATGCCACTTCCTTCAGCTCCCATTGGCCAGGAACAGTGATCTGCAGGAATAGGAGCTGCAAGCTTCTGTACCTGCAAATGTGCAGATATATAAAGTGCTGCCAGCCCACCAGAGGCTAACCCTCTGATTTATTGTCCACCCCTGAGCTAGGCAAAGATGGTAAGCAATGTATTATAAATTGTCAAAAACAATTACATTTTAAGAAATAATACATTTAAAGTTCCCTTTTCAAACTTATCATGAAACGAATACATATACATTTTATGTCATGAATTTTTTTGTACACAAGTTAGCAAAAGGTTTAAAAGTTGAAGTGTCTGCAAATGTTATTCCCACAGATATGTACACATGCATCAATACACACAGCTCCCTACATAAACCACAGTCTCATATTTACACGCATACAATGCATGCATGCACATACTTGCCTACGCAGAGACACTTATTCATAGTTTTCTAGAGGCTCCCTAAATGACCCAGCCAGGATGAGGATGGGCTGGAGGGAAAAAGATGGAGGGGAGTGAAAGAGGCCAAGGATATGAGCAAGATGGGGGTGAGAAGGGACAGTAAATGAGAGAGAAAGTAGAGTGGGGGCTGTGGAGTGGATGGGGATGTAAGGCGGAGGTGTCAACAAGTAGTCAACTATACGATCAACTGATAAGTTGATAAGCCTAGGTTTATCAGTTAATCTTGTTGACTATTCACATTCCCCCTTTGGGAGAATAGCAACCTCTGTTCATAGGGACCTAGGACACATACCCCTCCCGCCTCCGTGGACAGGGGTTACTGCTGGACCAGCGTCTGTTCATGGCCAGCCCGGGCCGCTGTGGACAGAGGCTACTTCACAGCAGCCACCTGCCCCCTGTGTATGGGTCTGTGGTACCCCCACTGGCTGCCGCCGGTACCACAGCCCAGAAGGACAGGGATGGGTCATTATGCAAAGGGATCTCTCAACCGGTCCGACCAGCTAACCCCCATGGAGAGGAATAAAGGAAGGTGAATGCTGCCCTGGCTGGGGGGCAGGGCTGGAGGAGAGTGAGTTAGTTTCTGTCTGGGAGCATGGAGGAAGCAGCCTCAGCAACAGGCTGGGGGGTTTAGAAGCCGAGACCCCTGCCTCATATCAAGGGGGGTTGTGGCATCCTAGGCCTGTCCTGTAACCTGATGACATCTGTGCTGTGCTGTATACTGGAGAAGCAATAAACCACCTCTATTCTACTGGCTGGCGGAGTCTGTTCGTGCCATTTCGGGGGTGCAGGAGACGGGAGACCCCAATGCGTCGTCCACAGAGGTTTGTGTCCTCTGGGGATTTTCTTATGTGTACTGAAGTTTGACCTATGCTGGAAGACTTTTCCATAGTCAGTATACCCCCACTGACAGAGACCAGAAGCTTCAGGATCTCTACCAAGCATTTATAAACCTCAACTACCCACCCGGAGAAATAAAAAAGCAAATTGAAAGAGCCAGACGAATACCTAGAAACCATCTACTTCAAGACAGACCCAAGAAAACCAACAATAGAACACCACTTGTCATCACCTACAACCCCCAACTTAAACCTGTCCAACACATTATCAATAAACTACAGCCTATATTGGAACAGGATACCATACTCAAAGAGGCTCTGGGAGACAGACCCATAGTCTCCTATAGACAACCACCTAACCTCAAGATGATTCTTACCAACCACCACAGGACATACCACACTAATACCAACCCTGGTACCTTCCCTTGCAACAAACCCCGTTGCCAGCTTTGTCCACATATTCATTCTGCTGATACCATTATTGGACCTAACCAAGTGAGTTATAAGATCAAGAACACATATTCCTGCGCATCCAGAAATATAATCTATGCTATCATGTGCCGAAAGTGTCCGTCTGCTATGTACATTGGACAAACATCTCAGACACTTCGCCAAAGGATTAATGCCCACAAAACAGATATCAGACAAGATCACAAAGAGAAAACAGTTTCTTGCCACTTTAACCAGAAAGGACACTCTCTAAATGACTTAGCCACCTGCATTCTGCTACAAAGACCTTTTACATCTGCACTTGAAAGGGAATCCTCTGAACTGTCATTCATGTTAAAATTCGACACTTACCACCAGGGACTTAACAAGTCTTTGAACTTTCTCACCCATTATCAAGACAGTTTCCCCAATTATCACCTGTAATACCATTAACTCACAAACATCCCACTCTCCCTACCTCTAATATCATCAATTCACAGACACTTACCTTCCTTCCTCCCCCTTCCCACCCCCCCGCATCCCCCTTCTGTTCTGCAATGTGATTTGTCCTTTTCATATTTGTTCATTTTTTTTAATTGTATCCTTTGGTATATATGGTTGTGACTACTTTCTTCCACTATTTGATATGAGGAAGTGGGTCTGGCCCACGAAAGCTCATCATCTAATAAACCATCTTGTTAGTCTTTAAAGTGCTACATTGTCCTGCATTTTGCTATACTTATAGGGTTTCTCATTACTGTGAAGTCTCTTATGTGACAGACGGTGTGAGCAACTTCTAAATCTTTTCCCACACTCATTGCACAAGTAAGGTTTCTCACCTGTGTGGGATCTCTGGTGAATAAAATAACTGATTTGTTTTAGAAACTTTTCCCACAATGACAACACTTATGGGATGACACAGAGGGTCTTTCTCCTCTGGATTTTCTGATGTTCAGAAAGGGCTGAGACTTTTTTTCTGAAAGTTTTTTCCACATTCAGAGCACTGAAAAGGTTTTCCCCCGTGTGAATCCTCTGGTGAGCAGTAAGCGTTGACCTGTAAGTGAAGCTTTTCCCACAGTCAGAGCAGTTATATGGTCTCTCCTGTGTGGGTTGTGGAATGGGATCAAAGGTGAGAGAGGCAACTGAAGCTTTTCCCACATTCATTGCATTTATAGGATCTCTGCCCCGTGTGGGTTCTCTGATGATCATTGAATTCTACACTGTAACTGAATCTTTTCCTACCGTCTGGACAGTTATAGGGTTTCTCTTCTGTGTGAATTTTCTGATGCTTAACAAGAGATGAATTTTGACTGAAGCTTTTCTCACACTCATTGCATTGGTAGGGCCTCTCTCCTGTGTGGATTCTTTGATGCTGAATAAAGGTTGAGCTCAGACTGAAGCTTTTCCCACAGTTGGGGCAGTTAGAATCATAGAACACTAGAACTGGAAGGGACCTCGAGAGGTCATTGAGTCCAGTCCCCTGCCCTCACAGCAGGACGAAGCACCGTCTACACCATTCATGATAGATGTCCATCTAACTTGCTCTTGAATATCTCCAGAGATGGAGATTCCACAACCACCCTAGGCAACTTATTCCAGTGTTTAATCACCCCGACAGGAAGTTTTTCCTAATAACCAACCGAAACCTCCCTTCCTGCAGTTGAAGCCCATTGCTTCTTGTCCTATCCACGGAGGCGAAGGAGAATAATTTTTCTCCCTCCTCCTTGTAACACTCTTTTAGGTACTTGAAAACTGCTATAATGTTCCCTCTCAATCTTCTCTTTTCTAAACTAAACAAGCCCAGTCTTCCCTCATAGCTCAAGTTTTCTAGGCCTTTAATAATTCTTGTTGCTCTTTACTGGATCTTCTCCAATTTCTCCACATCTTTCTTGAAATGTGGTGCCCAGCATTGGAAGCAATACTCCAAGGCTATGTCTACACTGGTGGGTTCTTCTGCAAGAACGGCCGTTCTTCCACAGAGTGTCCACACTGCCTGCCCGCTCTTGCCCAAGAAAAATTAAAGCAAAGCGTGGGAAGAGAGGGCTTCTTGTGCAAGAGCTACATTCTTTTCTAACAAGTGTAAGCTCTCTTGCACAAGACCTCTTGCACAAGAGGGCAGTGTGGACACGTGGCAAGGGTTTCTTGTGCAAGAAA